AGAGAGAGAGAGAGAGAGAGAGAGCGCGCGCGCGGTTGACAAAAGGGTGGTAATGACATACTTTGGCGAAGAAGACAGTATCGAGTATTGAATTCGCTGTTTTGACCTGTGGGTCCCAAACGCCGAGTTCGTCGGGAGTAGTGAACACAAACTGGTGATCGTTAAAGAATGTCCTAACGGCTGCATCGTTGTAGACCTGTAACTCATAGTATGGATACGACGGCTCGACAGTTTCATTTTTCCGGATATTGGGGGCCCGATAGTAGCGGAGCTTAAGCATAGCGTCCGCAGAGCTGCCGCCATCCATCTTTACCGTGGCGTCCAGAATCACGTACTGACCAGTCTTGAAGCCGGCCTTCACCTCAATGCCTATCGGTGGCCGAACAACCGGCTTCTCCTTCAGACACAATTCATCGCTGCCCAGAGGGGCCACTCGGCCCACCTCTGCCCACACCATCATCGCTACGATCGCTATTCCCGACAAACACTTCATTTTGTTTGGCGATTGAAAAAAAACAATTACAATAAAACAAATCACTTTTCAATTGGTTTTCAGATTTGATAACTGATTGATTAATTGCCTGAGAATTCAATTCGCAATTCAATGACACAACTGTTTCCTTAACAATAGTTTTACGGTTTGAACGTCTCGTATATATGTATAGCGTTTAGAGCTCTCGCGTGAATCGCTATAACTTTGTATTATTTTTGTGAGTTTTTTGTTTTCCAACTTTTTTTTGGGCCATTCATTGCGTTATAATTGTTGTCTAATTGTATTGATAAAAGTGTCCAATCGTTGCCATAACTGATCCAAAGATATATTATTTACAATTAGTTTTTTTGACAATTAAATTGGTTTTATTTAAACATACCTTTTGTTGAATACAGTATTGATTCATTTCTATTGAAAATCTACTATGAATTAGATAAAAATGATTAAAATTATTACAAACTGGTTGAATAAAGAGAAAATTATAATTCAATTACAGACAATTACTCATATTTATAACATTTTGATTAATTTAAAAAGTATTGAATTAGTAAATACTGTTATAATAAATTAATTATAAATTCTTAACTATAATTATCAATAAATGACTTACAGTAAAGAAAGGGCCATTGATTGCACCAATAGTTTGTTAGGTATAATAAAACCCAATACTAAATACCTGTCGTATTGTTCACTTATAAAACAAATGGATTTATAAATCAATAAACAAATTGTATAACACTTTAAGTTAATATTTATTCAACGATTCAATTAAACTATAGATTGGGATAAATAAAAGGTAATGAATTGAAATAAAAAATGATAGCCAAATGACACCCAAATATATTACATAATTAAATGATAAAAACACCGACAATGAATAAACGAGAGACAAATGGTTGTACTTTCTGTCAGCAAACGTGCAATCAATTCACAGACATTTGCGACAATATTCAGGCGACGCCACGGAGTAGTCATCGGAGGTAAAGAGGCGTGTATTGAGTGACAGGTATTGAAGCAAATCGTGTATATTTTTGGACATTGAGTTGACCGACGGCTCGCCGATTACCGAAATGTAAGCCAAAAAGTTATTGCTTCGCGTGAAGAGACGCAACAAATGAATGGACCCATAGATGGCCGACATCTGGACGCCGGAGTCGGTGTCCTTGTGATGAACGAGCAGTTCTTGGTATTGGATTCGCTCGAACTTATACAACAAGTGGCTGCCAATCATGGCGTTGAACAAGTTTTTGATGCCGGCGATCAATTCGCGCACAACCGGCTCGTCGGCCGACCCATTGGTGGCCACTCTTTGTTGCGAATAGTCGTCGAGTATTTTGTCCACCGATACCTTCGCCGGCAAATCAAACAACATCTTCTGTCGCGTAATCAGATCCCAGTCGTCCACTAAACAGGGCTTCAATTGGTCCGGCATTTTGATCCTAATCTCAAGTTTGGCGGTAAACGAGTCGTCAATCGTGTGAAACCTGTCCATCGCTTTGCGTTTCTTTTTCTTCTTATCGGCGGAACCGTTGCTATCGTTATCTGCGAAACAAAACACAAAAAGTAATCACAATATGAGAATCAACTGACAATTAATGGCAAACAAATCAAAAGCAAAACATACCGTTTGTCAGACAACTATCACCGGTTTTGGTGCCATTCTTGGCGGCGCCTTTGGCCGCACGTCTGGCTGCCGACGACTCATTACCCGATGGCTGAGCGGTGTCTTTGCCCACGGGTTGAGCGCCAGCGCCGGCAGCAGCGGCTGCGGCGGCGGCAGCGCTGGCCTCAGCCTTGCGTTTCTTGGATGCCTGGGAGGCGGCGGCGACACTACTCTTGAGCTCCTGTTGGCGGCGAAGGTTGTCCTCATTGATGGCCATAATCATTGTCTCGTCGACCCACTCGTCCCACGACTTGTTCCACCCGTTATAGTGCACATAATAGCGGTTCCGGGTGTCGATCGCCAGCCTCTTCAGACACTTGGCCTCATAGATGAGTGGGCCGTGAAAGCAGAGGATCCGCTCCTCCACCGCATACTTGAAGGCCCGGTCGCTGGCCGTCGATGTAGTGCTGGTCGTGACGGCAGGTGTGGCCACTGTTGATGGTGTGGCTGTTGTTGTTGTGGTGGTAGATGTGGTTGTGGTGGCCGTGGATGGTGTGGCCATCGGTGTTGGCTGTGCTGAACGGATCAGATGTAGTGATGTGTAAAAGACTGTACAAAAAGACTGTTTGTATTGTTTTTTCAAAACACTATTCACTCAACGCTTTGCCATCCGTTTCCATAACAACGCCTCTCTAAGCGTTGACACGTGTTTTGGCGCACACTTTGAATGTCTGTGTGTTTTGTTTGCCATTCATTTGTTTCATTCAAATGTGTTTTTTAATTATGCTTTTTGTTGTTGGAAAATGTTATTAAGTTTTGTGTGGTTTTAGTTTTATTATTATCAACGCATTCATTAAGTAATTGACATTTTTGTTGTATATTTTACAATAAATTATGTAAATATTGTATATATTGTATCCATTATTAACATTAGATGGAGAGCCATGTATTGAGGAATCTGTATTGAAACATAAGTATGTATCGAGAATACAGTAGTACCAGAATTTTACCCTAGCTCATTCACCAGTCCCGTACACACTATACTAACTCGTAAGCTATACTATACATAATTGAACTGATATTCAAATTCGTATTAACCATAATCTAAATACTAAATCACTAAAGATTATGAACACTTGTGAGAGAGAAAGTCAACTGAAAAATATTAAAGTCGTTAAACAAATCACTCATTTATCAAACGATAAAATATAAATCTGTTGTGAAAAAAAATGTTGACAAAAATACAGAGTAAAGTGTCGTTTGGGAGCATATGTTGCCAATGGATTCACATCTTCTATACTTTGGATATATATTGGGAGCAAAATTCTTGACTCTAATGTTGGATATAATTGGATATCATTTATAGTTTTAGTGGAAAAGGGGTATAAAGTGTGTGACAGATGTCTCACAAAACACAAGCCGTCAGACACTGCAGAAAGTGGTAATCAGTGCTCATATCGTATCTTATTTTCTTCATTTCGGTCTCTCTCTCTCTCTCTCTCTCTCCTCCTCTCTCTCTCTCCTTTTATTCTCATAATAATTGTGAATCTCTTTAATCTTTGAGCACTGATTTTAATCGCAAACATTTGAATGCTTATGATTTCGTTATATATTAGAAAATATTGTCAAATAAAAAATATATTGCTTTAGATAAACGATTTTAACTAAGAATGTCGAGAGAGAGAGAGAGAGAGAGAGAGAGAGAGAGAGAGATCGTCAGTTCATTTCGTGTCATTGAGCTAAAAATCGTTGAATTTTAGCTTTTGTTATCGAAGCAATATTTGATTACACATTATATAGTTTACAAACTGATCTTTTCCACTAAAACTATAAATGATATCCAATTATATCCAACATTAGAGTCAAGAATTTTGCTCCCAATATATATCCAAAGTATAGAGAATAGTACCAGAATTTTACC